TGATTACTGTAGCTTTATAGTAATGTCAGTCCTCTGACTTTGTTCTTTCTTTTTTTTTTTTTTTTGAGACAGAGTCTTGCTCTGTCACCTAGCTGGAGTGCAGTGACATGATCTCAGCTTACTGCAACCTCTGCCTCCCTTGTTCAAGCAATTCTCCTGCCTCAGCCTCCTGAGTAGCTGTGATTACAGGTGTGTGCCACCACGCCTGGCTAATATTTTGTATTTTTAGTAGAGATGGGGTTTCGCCATGTTAGCCAGACTGGTCTCGAACTCCTGTTCAGGTGATCCACCCACCTCTGCCTCCCAAAGTGCTGAGATTACAGGCATCAGCCACAGTGCCCGGCCTGTTCTTTTGTTTTCTTGAGATGGAGTCTCACTCATTCTGTTGCCCAGGCTGGAGTGCAGTGGCGTGATCTCGGCTCACTGAAACCTCCATCCAACTTTGGGGTTCAAGTGATTCTACTGCCTTAGCCTGCCAAGTAGCTGAGGTTACAGGTGTGTGCCACCACGCCTGGCTAATTTTTGTATCTTTAGTAGAGATGGGGTTTCACCATTTTGGCCAGGCTGGTCTCGAACTTTTGACCTCAGGTGATCCACCCACCTCGGCCTCCCAAAGTGCTGGGATTACAGGTATAAGCCACTGTGCCTGGCCTGGCTAATTTATTTTTATTTTTTCTAGAGATATGGTCTCACGTTGTTGTTGCCTAGGCTGATCTTGAACTCCTAGGCTCAAGTGATCCTCTTGCTTTGGCCTCCCAAAGTGCTGGGATTATAGTTATGAGCCACTGTGCCTGGCTCTGGAATGAATGTTATTAAAAAAGAAGGCAAGACCTAGGGCACAAGAGGGTTTACATGTACATTTACAGCCTTTCACCAAAATTGCATCAGTAATTTACCCATAAAGAGTTTATTAGCAGCTGGGCACGGTGGCTCATGCCTGTAATCTCAGCACTTTTGGGAGGCTGAGGTGGGCGGATCACGAGGTCAGGAGATCTAGACCATCCTGGCCAACATGGTGAAACCCCGTCTCTACTAAAATACAAAAAGTTAGCTGGGCATGGTTGTAGACACCTGTAGTCCCAGCTACTTGGGAGGCTGAGGCTGGGGAATCGCTTGAACCCAAGAGGCGAAGATTGCAGTGAGCCAAGATCACGCCACTGCTCTCCAGCCTGGTGACAGAGTGAGACTGTCTCACAAAAAAAAAAAAAAAAAAAAAAAAAAAAAAGAAGAATTTATTAGCGTGGGCAACATAGGGAGACTCTGTCTTTTAAAAAAAAAAAAAATTTGTATTAGCTGGGCATGGTGGCATATGCCTGTGGTCCCAGATACTTGGGAGACTGAGGTGGGAGGATCGCTTGAGCCTGGGAGGTTGAGGCTGCAGTGAGCTCTGACCTACCACTGTACTCCAGCCTGGGCAACAGAGAGAGACCCTGTCTCAAAAAAAAAAAAAGAAAAAGTTTATTTCCTTTGTCCATTCCAGTTGCTCTAAGTATCTTGGATTTTAAATATGGTATAACGAAAATACCCTAATGGTTTTGAAATAAGTAAAATAAAGGAAAAAGGCAAAAAGTCATACAGCCCACAGTCAGTGCTTTAAGTATAGTTGGTCAGTTTGTGGAGTTTGTTTTTTGTAAACCTTCTTATAAAATGATCTGGATGTGGTTAGTTCTGTTTATTTGCATTAATGGATTACACTGGTAATCACCCAGATGAAATCATAGAGTTTAGAATCGGAAGGTATCTTGGAGGTGGTCGTGCTAATTGCTACATAATGTGGAGATCTCTTTGGTAATAATATTCATGCATCTGTTACAGATTCGATCTCTGTCCAAGCCCTGCACACTGCTTTGTAAGGCAGTCAATTTCATGATAATTGCATGTGTCATAAAGTTATTCTCTTGAGTCGAAGAATTGGTTATTTCCTTGTGTTCTGTAGTAATAAAGGAGTATAAAGACCAAATGATATCTTTTAGGTATATGAAGTACTTAGATAGAAATACATATCCAAATATATAGGGTATAATCCTTGGCTTGCTTTCTGCATTCTTTCCTTCTTTTGAGATCTCTCCTGTAATTCATTATTTTCTTTGTTTTATATTTGATTACTTAGAAATGTTGGGATTGACTGGGTGTGGTGGCTCATAACTGTAATCCCAGCACTTTGAGGGGCAGAGGCAGGTGGATCACCTGAGGTCAGGAGTTTGAGACCAACCTGGCCAACATGGTGAAACCCCGTCTCTACTAAAAATACAAAAAACGTAGCCGGGCGTGGTGGTGGGCTCCTGTAGTCCCAGCTACTCGGGAGACTGAGGCAGGAGAATGGCGTGAACCTGGGAGGTGGAGCTTGCAGAGCGCCGAGATTGCGCCACTGCACTGCAGCCTGGGCAACAGAGTGAGACTCTATCTCAAAAAAAAAAAAGAATAATGATTAATAGTTAACCTTCTAGGGTTGTTATGAGAATTAAATGATCACAGGAATGAGGCACATATTTAGTGCAGTGCATGGCACATGGTAAACATTTAATAAATGCTAACAGTACAGTGATGGTAATGGTTTCTTTCTTTTTTTTTTTTTTTTGAGACAGAGTCTCACTCTGTTGCCTAGGCTGGAGTGCAGTGGCGCGATCTCGGCTCACTGCAAGCTCCCCTTCCCAGGTTCACGCCATTCTCCTGCCTCAGCCTCCCGAGTAGCTGGGACCACAGGTGCCCGCTGCCAGGCCCGGCTAATTTTTTGCATTTTTAGTAGAGATGGGGTTTCACCATGTTAGCCAGGATGGTCTCGATCTCCTGACCTCGTGATCCGCCCGACTCGGCCTCCCAAAGTGCTGGGATTACAGGCGTGAGCCACCGTGCCCGGCGGTAATGGTTTCTATTAAGCCTTTTTAAGGGAGCAACTGATTTTGTTACTGGTAGCGGTTCTTCACTGCAAGTTCTCCAGGTTCTAGGTGTTTTGGACAAAGAATTGGACAAAATGCACAGCATAGCAAGGAAAGAGTGGAGCAATAAAAGCAGAGATTTATTGAGAATGAAAGTACACTCAACAGGGTGGGAGTGGACCTGAGCAGCCCCTCAAGGGTCCCCTTACAGAATCTTCTAGGGTCTGGATACCATACCCCCAGAGGTTTCCCATTGGCCACTTGGTGTTCACACCATGTAAATAAAGTGGTGGCCTGCAATCAGTCTGATTGGTTGCAGAAAACTACCAATCAGAGGCTGAAGTTACCAAGTTACACTCCTATGCAAGCATCTGATTGGTTATGGAAAGCACCCAATCATATTGGGGAGTTTGCAAAGGGAGTAGCCTTTGGTCCTTTTGTTACTCAGACATGGAAAGTTGGGGTTTTCCTTTAGATTTAGTTCTAGGTTGGCCTTAGGTCCCTGGACACCCTATTCTCCTGCCTCAATTTCAGTTGGAAAATCAGGAAGGGCAGGAATCTTCTTTCCTAAACTTTGAAATAAGCATAGGATCTCCTTAAAGAGCAGGATGGGCATTGAGATCTACCATCAGCAAATGCATGGAGCTAGGAAAGTGCATGGTCTTTTTGATGGACTTTAAGCAGTCATGTGTGACTGAGGGGTTGAGTAAGTGGAAGATCTGGTGGGAAGTAAGGATGGTATATAGAGAAGTCAGATTGTAGAGGGCTTTGAACACAATGTTGGGATGTTTGTACATTATCCTAGATATTCCAGATGTTTTCAGGTCTTTGAACAGAGGAGCAGGATTGCATTCTTCTAGCAAAATATATGTGATTATTGTATAGAGATAATTAGTGGTTTCTGTTTGTAAAGTTTTGACTGAAAGGGCTAATGAAAAGTATGTAGCAGGAGAAAATGGTTGCTGTAATCCAGGGTGTGAAATGGAAACCATTGGCAGATTGTGGAAAAATGAGCCTTTTAGAGTAAGCCCAGGAAACTTTTTGTAAATATGTTTGAGGCTTTTCATACTTAGAGGATTAAACAAATTTATTAGACAATAACCTTTTCTCTCAAAGAATCTTAATCTCTAGATTGGGAGAAAGGATTGGGTTGGTATGTGCAAGGGAAAAAGACCTGGGCTCTTCTGGCTGACTGCGCATGTAATTGAAAGTGGACTTACCCCAGGACAGTGAACTGTCTTTCAGCCTGAGGGAGAGCTTTAAGCATATTTTAAGTGTAAGCACTTGCTTTCTATTTTTAAGTCTCTGAAGATAATGGTCTGACATAGGGAACTAACTTTTGGGGATGAATCTGCTGTGCCCAGACTTCAGCATTGCCAACATTCTCTTTTTGATGTATGAGTTGATTTGGCTATCCTTTAAGCTTATTTTGTATTTTTGTTGATTTCTACTATTGCTTCTGAAGCTTTTGCGTTTCCAAACTTGTGATTTCAAATCATTTAAAGAGTTTGGTTGGCGAAATTGTTAGGAAGGAGGCCTGATTAGGAAATTGAGACTGGTTGATTACTGGTGAAATGAGAATTGAATGGAAGCTCACCGCAGTTGCTTTATTGGCTGGATGGAGTGACCAGTGAGTCACCATTTTTGTTTTTTGGCTGTGGCCTCATTTTCCTGCTTGTATAGATAATCTGGCATCTAGACTGAAGTAGCATCAGGGGTGAGTGTTATGTGTGAACTGGTGATTATCTGTTGGTATGAGATGGATTTTACATGTCTATCAGAATCCCTCTGTGGAGAAAAGCAAATTATTACTTAGTTTATGTTCCAGGGAATACTAATGCTATTATATGGGTATATAGCACTTACATAACATTGGTCCTTTTCAAAAATATTTCATGTCTGTTGTCACTTCATTCTTCAACCACCTGGTAAATGAGATAGGGCAGGTGTAATTCCTGTTTGACAGAGGGGATGCTGAGGCATAAATAAGAGACTGGGTTATGGTTTCTGGCTCAATAAATAAATGACTGAAATAACCTATTACGTTTCATTTTTGAACTACAACTTTCAGAAAATTTTATAGGAGGAAAAAGCTGAATGCCTTCTCTTTTTGTTATTTTTCAGCGGCGTCTTCGACATCTTCGGAACATTGCTGCCCGGAACATTGTTAATAGAAATGGCCATCAGCTCCTTGATACCTACTTTACACTTCACTTGTGTAGTACTGAAAAGATATATAAAGGTAAGGGGATCTGTGGACTTGCTACCCACAGATTGTTATATTTTTATTTTTTTTTTGTAACACAAGTGATTCTCAGTGCCTCCTGCTGTTGCAGCTTCTTGGAAACCTAAATTGTTTTGCTGTCTGAAAATATGAGCAGTTGGGATGTATACTAAAGAAAAATGGCAATTGGATAGTTCTTTCAGATAACTGAGCCTTACATTGATAAGTTTATCATTCCTTTATGAATGTTAGCTATTAATGGTCTAGTACCTAGCATTTCAAGTAGATTGAATCCAGTATCCTGTAGTAATTTTACTGTTATAAAAATGTAATAAATTTCTTTTCTTTAATATTATGGTAAAATAGGGACCTAGTTTATATCTTCTCATATCTGTAATTTCCTGTATATATAGGATCTTTTTCAGAAGAATGACATAGTTTTCTCTAACTCAGTTTTATGTATTGTACTATGGATTCTTCTGTAAGTGAAAATTCTAAGAGCAGACCAAATATTTGATTAAAAATCACAACCACCTGCAGAATGCATATTAGATGAGAGGCACTGAGACATAATCAGTTGGCTTAGGTGGGATGGTGTAAGAGAGGAAGCATGGTAAAATGATAGTAATGTTGGATTATGATAGAAAATACTTCCATACTAGTTCTAGCCCAGCTACTCACTAGCTTTGTGACTTTTGATAAAGATCATGGTTTCTGGAACTTCACTCTCCCCTTTTGTAAAGTAGAGATAATGATGTCTTATGAAGTAGGTAAGACAGATTTTTATGAGGATCATAAAAATCTTGATGTGATTAAAGATGTATTTATGCTAACAACAGGTGACATCATTTTAACAAAAGATACTGAGACTTGTTTGAATCTTGTCCTGTGGCAAAGGTGAAAAATTCAAGTGAGATATATATATATATATATATATATATATATATATATATTTATTTATTTATTTTCGAGATAGGATCTCACCCTGTCACCCAGGCTAGAGTGCAGTGGCACAATCATGGCTCACTGCAGCTTTGACCTCACAGACTCAAATGATCCTCCTGCCTCCGTCTCCCAAGTAGCTAGGGCTACAGGTGTGAGATGCCTCTCCAGGCTAACTTTGAAAAAATTTTTGTAGAAACGGGTCCTACTATGTTTCTTGGGCTGGTCTCGAACTCCTGGACTCAAGCTATGCTCCTGCCCCAGCCTCCCAAAGTGCTGGGATTATAGATATGAGCCACGGTCCCTAACCTCTTTTTAGTTTTAATCATTATTTAAAGCGGCGATTGTTTAACAACTTTTTAAAAAAATGTCAATTCCAGTATCTGCTTATTAAAACATTCAGTCAAGAAATATACAGTGAAGAAACTCCTTCAGAGTAAATAGTCTTAAAATAATTTTTTTCCCCCCAAGATAGAGTTTCGCTCTGTTGCTTAGGCTGGAGTGCAATGGCGCGATCTCAGCTCACTGCAACCTCCTCCTCCCTGGATTCCAGTGATTCTCCTGCCTCAGCCTCCCAAGTATCTGGGATTACAGGCACCTGCCACCACGCCTGGCTAACTTTCGTACTTTTAGTAGAGATGGGGTTTCACCATGTTGGCCGGGCTGGTCTCGAACTCCTGACCTTGTGATCCACCTGCCTTGGCCTCCCAAAGTGCTGGGATTATAGGCGTGAGCCACCACGCCTGGCAATAATTTTTCAGGATGGGAAAAGGACTCAAATTCCACCGTCCTCATGTAATTTTATTTCATTCTCATTTTTCAGTCTAACCATTGCTTTATTTATTTATTTATTTATTTATTTATTTATTTATTCATTCTGAGACAGAGTCTTGCTCCGTTACCCATGCTGGAGTGCGATGGTGCAATCTTGGCTCATTGCAACCTCTGCCTCCCAGGTTCAAGCAATTCTCCTGCCTCAGCCTCTTGAGTAGCTGGGATTACAGGTGCCTGCCACCACGCCCAGCTGATATTTGTATTTTTAATGGAGACAACGTTTTGTCATGTTGGCCAGGCTGTCTTGAACTCCCGACCTCAGGTGATCCTATACCTGCCTTGGCCTCCCAAAGTGCTGGGATTATGTGTATGAGCCACTGTGTGGAGCCCATTCCGTATTTTTGAAACAACTGTATTCATCTCAATGCTTAATGGTAGCTACTGTAACAAATACCACAACTCTTAGTGGCTTACCATAATACATTTCTTATACTAAGTCCAGTGCAGGTGTCCTTTATCAGGCGCTATCTTGGCAGCTTTCTTCTAAGTGATGACTCAGGTATGCAGGTTCCTTCTAGTTTGGGCTGCTAGTGTCCTCAATACATGGCCTCAGACACGGCCAGGGATAGAAGGATTACTTGTGGGAGAGTTTTAAATGGAAATGGTCCATATCAATTTCATTACATTCTATTGGCCATAAATCAGTTGCATTGTCCTTGTTATTTTTTATTTTATTTATTTATTTTTGAGATGGAGTCTCACTCTGTTTGCCCAGGCTGGAGTGCAGTGGTGCCATTTCAGCTCACTGCGACCTCCGCCTCCCATGTTTAAGTGATTCTCCTGCCTCAGCCTCCCGAGAAGGTGGGATTACAGGCATGCGCCACCACACCCAGCTAATTTTTGTATTTTTTGTAGAGATGGGGTTTCACCATGTTGGCCAGGCTGGTCTTGAGCTACTGACCTCAAGTGACCTGCCCATCTCAGGCTCCCAAAGTGATGGGATTATAGACATGAGCCACTGCGCCTGGACTGAATTGTCTTTTTTAGATGGAAAGGGGACTGGGAAATGGAAGCTTCCTATATGTCCAGAAGGAAAATGAAACAGGTTGGCTACTATTTGGTTTAAGGGTATAAGCATTTTTGTAGGCCTTAAAACGTTTAGTCTACTGCTCACTAATTGGTTATCTCACTAGCAATATATGACAGTGCTGGAGTATTTTAAATTTTTGATGAGTTTCTGTATAATCAGTCCTGGTTATCTTAACAAAACTTCTGTGTTCTTACCCCAGTGTTACCTCTGATAATAGTAATTAACACCAGTACTTAGCACATTTTGGGAATTTGGAAAATGATAGCAATTAGAATTATAATAATCATAATAGTGTTTTCTAAAACGAGTAGTCATGGGACTGGTTGATGATCATGTTAAAAAACTTGTCTAGAGATATGATGAAAGCGAAGTGACTTTTTTGTTTTTTCTCTCTTTTAGCTCAGATTATATCTTGAATTTAGCAGTTATCATTGACTGTTTTTTGAAGTTATCTCAGTGAGATAATCATCAACACAGATAGGGAATAGCTGGTGACAGACCCCGGGAAGTCCAGGGTCTGGTGTAGCTGTTGAATTTGGCACTAGCTGTCAAGCCTCTTGGATAGGGCGTTTACTCCCTCTTGCCAGCTTTAGTAATTTATCATTAAAATGAAGGGATTGGTGATTTCTCAGCATTCCTCCCATTCCGAAATGTCATGGTTGAATGAAGCCTATTCATGAACTTTGTTGGGCTTTACAAACTTTTAACTACCATAGGAGGAGCTAGGAAGCCCTTTCTGTAGTAATTCTAGTTAATGCTGTTGTGTCTTGTTGGTCGGACCTGTTATAACAAACGTGAATATTTTATGATCCTTGTTTGGTCCTTGGTATAGAACAACCATGATAAGAGACCAATTGACTCTTCTCGATTAACCACCTGTACCACCTGTTTAGTGGTGACATTTCTTAGTGTCAGAAGACAGTTTTTTATTGAAGAATATCTGAAATGCTGGTTTCTAAGTTTTTCTTTTATTTCAGGTAAATTCACAGCAGATCCAAAGAAGATATGTGTGAAATTTAAGAAAAGATGTGTGAAATTTTTTGACTTTTGACATCCTTGTAGTGCTTTTAGGAGACTGTCTTATTTCCAATCAAATACTAGTTATTATATCCCCAGAGAACAAAGCCTTGTGTTAATGGATGGATGGGTTCTAAACTTGGTTTTCTGTTAAACTTGCAATTTTTATACAATCAAGTTTGTTTTTCTTTTCTTTTTTTTTTTCCTTTGAGATGGAATCTCGCTTTGTGGCCCAGGCTGGAGTGCAGTGGCCAGATCTCAGCTTACTGTAAGCTCCGCCTCCCAGGTTCACGCCATTCTCCTGCCTCAGCCCCCCGAGTAGCTGTGACTACAGGCGCCCGCCACCACGCCTGGCTAATTTTTTGTATTTTTAGTAGAGATGGGGTTTCACTGTGTTAGCCAGGATGGTCTTGATCTCCTGCCCTCGTGATCTGCCTGTCTTGGCCTCCCAAAGTGCTGGGATTACAGGTGTGAGCCATTGTGCCCAGCCCTCAAGTTTGTTTTTCATAGTTATTTTCTGACCTATGAAATGTAAGTGCCTGCCCTCTCCTGGAATTCCAACTGTCTTGAATACATCAGAAGATGAACTCTATATTACTTAATTTGGCAATCTTACTTAAGTCTTGTAGTTTTATTTATTTTTATTTATTTTTTATTAGGCAGAGTCTCACTCTGTCAACCAGGCTGGAGTGCAGAATCACAGCTCACTGTAGCCTCAACCTTTTGGGGTTTAGGTGATTCTCCCACCTCAGCCTCTCGAGTAGCTGGGACTACAGGCACACACCACCATGCCCAGCTAATTTTTTTTTGTTGTTTGTAGAGCCGAGTTTTGCCGTGTTGTCCAGGCTGGTCTCAAACTTCTGGGCTCAAGCAGTCCACTTGCCTTGGTTCCCAAAGTGCTAGGATTACAGGCGGGAGCCACCAAGGCCTGGGTCAAGTCTTATAGTTTTAAATGTCACCTGTTGATCTTTCCTTTGAACTCATACCCCTGCAATCCAATTGCCTACTCTGTAGCTGCATTTGGAGTCTAGTAGGTAACTTAAACTTGATATGTTCAAAACTGAGCTTCTGATATTCCAGCTGTGATCCACCTCCTGTATTCTTGCTTAGATCAGAAAATGGCAATTCCATTTCCTTGGCCAAAAACTTTGGAATTATCCTGGATTGTCTTCTTTCTCTCACGTTTCATATCCAGTCTTTTGGCATATACTTTTGGCTCTTACTATCAAAATATATCCATAACCTAATCACTTCTTGCTATCTTCAAACCACAGTCATCTTTTAACTACATTGTTGGAGTAGATGTTTAACAGGTTTGTCTGCTCATGCAACTCCCTCAGTCTGTTCTCAACTGAGATCCTGTTAAAATCAAAGTCACATCCCTTTATTTCTCTCCTCAGAACCTTCCCATGGCTTCCCATCTCGTTCAGAGTATAAGCTAAAATCCTTATGGTTTCCTAGAAGGCCTTTCATGATCTGGTTCTTGGTTACCTCTCTGAACTCAATTTCTGCTACTCTTCCAGCTGTCTGTGTTCCAGCTAGCTGAACATGTAGCTGTTGCTTGAATGCATTGGTTTTAACTAACTTAAAGACCTCTGCATTTGACATTTATTTGACTTGGATACTTTTCCTTCACATATTCACATGACTAGTGCTTCCACCTTCTTGCAGATCTTCCCCCCCCCACCTTTTTTTTTGAGATGGAGTCTTGCTCTGTTGCCCAGGCTGGAGTGCAGTGGCGCAATCTCAGCTCGCTGCAACTTCTACCTACTGGGTTCAAACGATTCTTCTGCCTTAGCCTCTCGAGTAGCTAGGACTACAGGCGTGCGCCACCATACCCAGCTAATTTTTGTATTTTTAGTAGACATGGGGTTTTGCCATGTTGGCCAGTATGGTCTCAATCTTGACCTCATGATTGACCCGCCTTGGCTTCCCAAAGTGCTGGGATTACAGACCTGAGCCACTGCACCTGGCTTTTTTTTTTTTTTTTTTTTCCCTTTCGGTTCTGCTCCTTCTGAATTGCAGGACTTTATTCCAAATGTTTCTCAGAGAAAGTCTCCTTGATCACTGACTAATGCTTTTATAAATTGTGATTGTTCTCCTCTGTCTTCTGTGCTTTATTTTTCTCCGCGGTACTTAAGATCACTTGACATACTGTATGATTAATTATTTGATTATTGTATGTCTCTTTCCGCTAGAATATAAGCTCTATGAAGGCAGAGATTTTCAGGTCACTTTTGCTCATTGCTCTGACCCCAATATGCAGAACTGCAGAACCACGCTTGACACATACTAGGCCCTCAAATATTTTTGTCTTTTTAATTTAATTTTTTAGTAGGTAAAAAAAAAATATATATATGTGTATATATGCAAAGATATAAAGGTTCATATTAAAGCCTCCCTTTCACTGGCCTTCCATCACCTTAGTTTTCTACCCCACCCTGATAACCACTGTTACTCATTTCTTGTTTGTCTTTCCTGAGATTCTTTATGCAAATACAAGTACAAATACAAATATTCTTATTCCTTTCTCTCCTCTTTTTTACCCAAAGTGTACCATACTATTTATGTTTCTATACCTTGCATTTTTCACTTACTATCGTAGGGTTTTCTCCATATTGATTCATAGACAGCATCCCTGATTTTTGTTTTTTTTTCTGCATAGTTTTGCGTTGAATAGATACACCATAACTGGCTCCTATTAGTGGACACTTAGGTGGTTCCAGTCTTTTGCTATACACACAGTATTGCATTGAATAACTTTATAATACGTTGTTTTGTATGAGTGGCAGTATATTGATACGGTAAATTTCATAAAGTGGAATTACTAGGACAAAGAGAATGTGTACTTGTAGTTTTGGTAGATATTGCGAAATTGTCCTTCGTGGGAGCTGTTTTATGTGTGAGTGCTTTTCTCCCCACAGCTTCACCACCAAGCCTGTGCAGACTTTTGAATTTTTGCCACCCTGTTAGGTGAAAAATAGTTTTGCAGTGTAGCTTAAGTTTGCATTTCTCCTATTAAGAGTCCACATTCATAGTAGGAGAAGTTATGCATAGTGCCTGCATAGTTTTGCATTGAATAGATACACCATATCTATGAGTATTAGAATGAGGCATTTATGCATTTGTTGAATGAATGGGATGCTGCAGGACAGCTAAAACGTGCCACTGGAACCATGCTGTGCAATCTGTGATTGCTTTTTTTCTTTCCGTCTTAGCATGGCGACATAGAGAAATATTTGTATTTAATGGTCCCTTTCATGTAGAGGCAGGTCTTGAATGGTATCTTTTTGAAAATTTAGGCTGGGCGCGGTGGCTCACTCCTGTAATTCTAGCACTTTGGGAGGCTGAGGCAGGTGGATCGTTTGAGGTCAGGAGTTCAAGATGAGCCTGGCCAACATGGTGAAACCTCTTCTCTACTAAAAATAACAAAAATTAGCCAAGTGGTGCTGGTGCGCACCTGTAATCCCAGCTACTCAGGAGGTTGGGGCTGGAGAATCGCTTGAACCCGGGAGGCGGAGGTTGCGGTGAGCCAAGATCATACCACTGTCCTGGGTGACAGAATGGGACCCTGTCTCAAAAAAAAAAAAAAAAAAAAAAAGAAAATTTACTTGTATGATTTTGCTCACATTGAATGGAAAAAACTAAACAATTTTATTAATAAAATTTTATTAATTTTAAACAATTTTGTTTAAACAATAAAATTGTTTAAAACTATTTTATTAATAAAGATTATAAAATATTTTAAATACATTATTTTATTTCAGCCTCATAAAAACCCTGTTATATTCCGGGTGTCACTGTCCTTTGAAAGATGAAGAAACTGTGGGCCAGCCCCCAAGTTAACAAAGTTTTGGAAGAAGGAATGATACCACTCATCTTAGAGCTGGAAATACTGCAAAAACTGTTTAATTTAGACACTTTGCAGGTTAAGCTAAGGAATTTGCTTTCTCAAAAGAAAAAGATTATTTTTATTGTGTTTTTCACTGACTTAACAGTAAAATATACTTGAATTGAATTCAAACAACACAAAAATATATACAGTATAATGTAAAATACCTTGTAATAAAAAACAGTAGTTTTAAATCCCTTATGCTTTTGTTTTTTGAAAAAAGTATGGTGCATGTATATTAGGATATATGTATATATATACATAAATACATACATTTCTAAGTTTGTGTCATCAATTAATGATTGGAATAATTGGTTAACCATTTGAGGATAAAATGAAAAGAACAATACAATACAATAGTGTTGGAGGAACAGGCTTCTTCATAAGTGGTATTGTAAATTATCACAATATTTGTAGTTAACAATTTAGCAATATCTATCAAAGTCAAATTGTTCTTTGAGCGTACAATTTTCTTTTCCTTTCCTCTTCTCTTCTCTTCCCTTCTCTTCCCTTCCCTTCCCTTCCCTTCCCTTTTTCCTTTCCTTCCCTTTCCTTTTTCCTTTCCTTCCCTTTCCTCCTTCCTTTCCTTTTTCCTTTCCTTCCCTTTCCTTTTTCCTTTCCTTCCCTTTCCTTTTTCCTTTCCTTCCCTTTCCTTTCCTTCCCTTCCCTTTTTCCTTTCCTTTTTCCTTTCCTTTCCTTTTTCCTTTCCTTTCCTTTTTCCGTTCCGTTCCGTTCCGATGGAGTCTTACTCTGTCACCCAGGCTGGAGTGCAATGGCGCAGTTCTGCCCACTGCAGCCTCTGTCTCCTGGGTTCAGGCAGTTCTCCTGCTTCAGCCTTCCAAGTAGCTGCGATTACAGGCATGTGCCACCATGCCTAATTTTTGTATTTTTAGTATACATGGGGTTTCATCATGTTGGCCATAAGAGCAGCATGGAGATGACTTGGGCAGGGTTAGTAGAGGGAATATTGGAAGGTTTTCGGGAATGTCTGAATTTCTGACACATTTTGATTGTGTCCTTGAGTTTTGTAACATTTTCCAGCATACATGAAGGCTTGTAGAGTCATGAAATTTAAACACTTCCCGAGGACCTTCAATTATCAGTTCAATTCTCTAAGTTGTCTTAGAGCAATAATAAGCCCAAGGGAATTAAAGAGACATAGTGTTAGTGACAGAGGTAGAAGTAGGACTTAAGTCACCTGGTTGCTAGTGTTTTAACCAAAACTAGCAACCAGGTAACCTAGATTAAAACACTAGCAACCAAGTAACCTACATCAGTATTCACTCCATAGTACTACAATGGGTAATCATTAGAGATGTTTGAGAAAAACAGAGCAAATGGAGTCAGTTGTGAGGGTGTAAGTGGGGAGGGAAGAAAGTTGGAGCTTTTAGGGGCTCAAATTAGAATGGGAGGAAAAAGCAGTCAGTAAGGTCATAATTATTAAAGCAAATCTGAAATGTTTTAACCTTTACTGAATTTTTTTTTCCCTTTAAAACACTTTCATTTACTTTTTACTTTTTTTTTTTTTTTTTTTTAACAGATATAGAGAGAATGAATTCCTTGAAAATATTTTAAATGTTTTACTGGAACATATGTTGAAAAATTTAGAGGATTGGCCGGGCGCGGTGGCTCAAGCCTGTAATCCCAGCACTTTGGGAGGCCGAGACGGGCGGATCACGAGGTCAGGAGATCGAGACCATCCTGGCTAACACGGTGAAACCCCGTCTCTACTAAAAATACAAAAAACTAGCCGGGCGAGGTGGCGGGCGCCTGTAGTCCCAGCTACTCCGGAGGCTGAGGCAGGAGAATGGCGTAAACCTGGGAGGCGGAGCTTGCAGTGAGCTGAGATCCGGCCACTGCAGTCCAGCCTGGGCTACAGAGCAAGACTCCGTCTCAAAAAAAAAAAAAAAAAAAAAAATTTAGAGGATTAAGAGTTGGTTAATGGGCTTATTTTCTTTCATATCACTTATTGTTCTTTTTTCTTCTTTTCCAGAATTTTATAGAAGTGAAGTGATTAAGAATTCCTTGGTAAGTTTGCTTTCTGACAGGTACATATGACTAAGTGTATACCCCTGTTTTCAGAAAATGCAGAAATGTAAAATAAGTTGAGGTTCAGCTCTGGTTTTATGATACAGATCTGCTCAATTGTTAAGTCATGATTGTTTTGTTCATTGCTGTATCTATCTATAGTGCTTATGTAATAGGTGCTTGATATATATTTACTGAATGAACTGATTTTTCTGTTAAGAACTTTAAATGGTAAAAACTCAAATTCTATAGTTTTCTCACTTCCATTTACCATAAATAAGTTTCTGATTATTTCACTGGCTGTATGTCATAATAAATGATATCTTTGTTTAGATATGGTTCTTAAGAATTTTATGCCTAGGACTTTTGTATAGGATACACCTACTTGTTTCTTGGCAGTGGCATTGCTCAGTTGGAAAGTTGTAAGTGTCCTACTTTTGATAATGTGTACTCTGGATATTTGCATAAATGTCTCCATTTATTAGGCTGTGTTGAAAACAAAGAAGACCTTTATAGTAATGAAAATATATTTATAATGGTCCAATACCATCTTGGATTTGGCCCTTGTCTGCTTTTCCACCTCATCTCCTCCTTTTTTCAGCCCTCATTGTGTTCCAGGTGTACCTCTTTCAGTGCTTCAAACATGTGAAGCTTATCTTGTTCCTTATGTCTAGAACACTTGTTTCCTCAGCTGTTCGATTGACTGAAGAGGTCTTCAAGGTCTCACCTATGTCACTTCGGCAAGACCTTCTATGACTCTCTCATCCAGAGCAGTTCCCTTTCCCCTAGTCATGCTTTTTCATGACCCTGTTTTATTTTCCTGAAAGCGTTCATCACCGTTCGAAACTCTTGCTTGCTTGTGTTTATGAACTGCCTCCCACCTGCTAGAACATAAGTTCCATGAAAGCAGGGGCCCTGCCAATCTTGCTGCTCCTGTTACCCTGGAGTCTAGAATAGTATAGATGCTCATTAACTCTTGTTAAATGAATAAATGGATATCAATAATGTGTTGTATTTACATGTTATCCCATTTTGATCCTTAGAACAACCTGTAAAGTAGATGGGGCAGATCTTAAGAAGCTGGTACCTGGAGAGTTCCAACAACTTTTGCAGAGTCACAGGACTGCAGGACCAGAACCCCAGTCTAGACCTTCTGTCTTCGTCTCTACTCTTTCTTCATCAAGCTGTCTTTGAAATGTCGCTAAAATATCAATAGATTTGGATTCTAGGCCAGATAGTTTCCTTGAGTCTATCTCTGGGGAGGTCCCATCACCAGTAAAGCTCTGGTTCTACGTATATTATATGATATACAATAAGTGCCTAGCATCATGCTTGACATATAATAGCTACTTAGTAAAGACTAGTTTTTCCTCCTCTCCTTGCTCAGGTGGAAACAGAAATAGTTTGCAGACAGTTGAGAGCTAGGAGTGATTAGGGGGAAGATAGAACAGAATTTTGTGTTCATTTATTGTATTCTCTTTTCCATAGTCAAATGTTGGGGATGGTTTTCAACATCCATTGCTTTTCCCCCAGTCTTGTGTTATAATAGACCCTATGTCATAATGGCACTTTAGTGTATTGTTCTACATTATTAGTATTGGATTTACTGGATATTCACTTGGCTCCCAAATCCATATTTCTAAAGATCTCTGAATGTTAGCGCCTATCTTCAACTCCTTTTGGCCTCCATCTTCAGTTGCTTTGGAGCTCTCTGTGAGGTCATGATACCTTCATCCTTAGTGTACTTAGGTGGAACATTGTCTCCAAAGGATACTGTAGAATGAATTCAAGACAAGGGAGAGGATTGGGTTAAAAGACTTCTAGGCCCCTTTCAACTCACAGTTTATTCTGTAATTGTTTTCTGAATGTACCACATACAATGTTTGCTTGCATTGTGATTATTCATGAACATTCTGTTTCACAAAGTAGATCAAATCTCCTGGAGGTCACAGACTGTATGTCTTTATATCCCCTTAGTTCCCAGTGTATTTCTATTGGGTAGTTGTTTGACAAATAATCATTTTTTGATGTTCCTTTTAAAAGGTATTCTTTGAGATTTTGGCGAGGATTTTTTTTTTGTTTATTTTATATCTTAATAAAGGTTTTATTAACTTAATTAACTCTTTTTTTTGTGTGTTTGTTTTTTTCAGACAGGGTCTCTCTCTGTCACCCAGGGTGGAGTGCAGTAGCATGATCTCAGCTCACTGCAACCTCCACCTCCTGGGCTCAGGTGATCCCTTACCTCAGCCTCCCAGGGAGCTGGGACTACAGGCATGAACCACCATGCCTGACTAATTCTTGTATTTTTTGTAGAGACAGGGTTTCACCATGTTACTCAGGCTGGCCTCGAATTACTGACCTCAAGCAATCCGCCCATCTCGGCGTCCCAAAGTGCTGGGATTACAGGCATGAGCCACTGTGCCCAGCCTAATTAACTCTTTTCTTTCTGAGGAAGCTCTTTTGTCTTAGCTGTTTGCTAATTCATTGTGATTGGTTCAGATTGATGGGCATTGGGCAGTACAGGAGTCAACAACCCTCAGAGAATATGCCAGAGATGGCATGTCGTTACTGCCCTTCTTGCTGTCTCCGAGGAAGCACTGCCAGGCCAACAGCAGAGTTGGTTGGTTTCTTTCCTGTTTAGAATTTTGCAGTCTTTAAGCTATTGTGATATTTGCTGGATAGTTAGTTGTTTAAATGCTTTTGTATCTGTTTGTTACCATTGTGCTTGGCACATAGAAGATGCTCAGCAAATGTTTGTTGAATAAATGGATCCTTCTTCTCTTTGGCACTTTGGGAGGCTGAGGCAGGCGGATCGTCTGAGGTCAGGGGTTCGAGACCAGCCTGACCAACACAGAGAAACCCCGTCTCTACTAAAAATACAAAATTAGATAGGCATGGTGGCACATGCCTGTAATCCCAGCTACTTGGGAGGCTGAGGCAGGAGAATCGCTTGAACCTGAGGCGGGGTTTGTGGTGAGCCGAGATCGCGCCATTGCACTCCAGCCTGGGCAACAATAGCGAAACTCCATCTCAAAAAAAAGAAAAAAATGATTAAAAAGAGTGTTTTCCCCCAAATATTAGATAAACTGTTCTTATGCCCTTTTTCTGTGCTTCTTTCTAACTCCTGAATACGCCAGATCACCTGTCCAATAAAACTTTCTGCAATGATGATAATATTCTACGTATTGTTCAGTACAGTTGCCACTGGCCACATGTGGCCATTGAGCACTTGAAAGGTGGTTCAGTTCTACTGCAGAACTGAGTTTTAAATTTTGTTTAATTTTAATTTAAATAGCCACGTGAGGCTAGTAGATTTATTAGACAGCACAGTTCTAGATGCTTCTGAAAAGCTTTCTTTTTTTTTTTTTTTGAGATGGAGTCTTGCTCTTGTTGCCCAGGCTGGAGTGCAGTGGCACGATCTTAGCTCACTTCAGCCTCTGCCTCCCGGGTTGAAACGATTCTCTTGTTTCAGCCTCCTGAGCAGCTGGGACTACAGGTGCCCACCACCATGCCCGGCTAATTTTTGTATATTTTGTAGAGACGGGGTTTCGCCACATTGGCCAGGCTGGTCTCAAACTCCTGACCTCCAGTGATCTGCCCATCTCAGCCTCCCAAAGTGCTGGGATTATAGGTGTGAGCCGCCGTGTCTGGCCAGAAAGGTTTCTTATAATCATTAACAGGATTCCCCTTTTTCTTTTTTTAAAAGTAGTTTGGGCCCGGTTCAGTGGCTCATGCTTATAATCTTAGCACTTTGGTAGACTGAGGTAGGTGGATTGCTTGAGCCTAGGAGTTCAAGACCGCCTAGGCAACGTGGCAAAACTCCATCTCTACCAAAAAATACAAAAATTACCTGGGTATGGTGGTGTGTACCTGTAGTCCCAATACTTGGGAGGCTGAGGTGAGAGGATTGCTTAAGCCTCAGAGGCGGAGGTTTCAGTCAGCCAAGATTGTGCCACTCCAGCTTGGGTGACAGAGTTGAGACCCTGTCTCAAAGGAAAAACGAATTATTTTGAGCTGAGTGTGGTAGCCCACACCTATATCCCAGTACTTTGGGAGGCTGAAGCAGGAGGATCATGTAAGCCCAGGAGCTTGAGATCAGCCTGGTCAAGATGATGAGACTCCCATCTCTACCAAAAAAAAAAAAACAATACATAAATAAAATAAATGAATAAATAATAAAATAAAAAAATTAGCTGGGCATGGGGGTGCATACATGTAGTTCCCTGCTAGTTGGGAGGCTGAGGCAGGGGGACTCCTTGAGCCCAGGAATTTGAGATTGTGGTGAACTATGACTGCACCACTGCACTCCAGCCTGGGCGACACAGTGAGAACCCAATCTCAAGAAAACAACAATAACAACAAAAACTAAATAAAAAGCTTTGTGCTTTTTTTTTTTTTTTTTTTAAATACCACTAGTCTCATTATAAATCCATATAATAGCTTTTTGTATGGTTGTCTTAGCCTCTTTGATATGTGTAATAATAAATTTCAGAAAGCAGGGACCTCATGTGGTTCATGTTTGTAATCTCCATAGTCATTGTATCGTGATTTGCTTTGACTTGGCAAACAAACAATGTAATGTGTGTTTAGTATGGCATATATATATACGTATCCAAATCTAAGTTTCTGGCTGTAAGACTCACTGTTACTTTACATTTACAAAAAGTAGTTAAACACTCTGATTAAACTGAACGTAAGTCCTGGGCAATAGTCTTATGAGCTGTGATTCAATTTTACTAACCTCTTGTTACTTTGGAGTTTCTTTAATCCATTCCAAGATATTTAGCAGTCTTTCCTTCCTTCAGGTGCATTATTTTCCTTGTGATAAGGAATCCTATTAGCAGTAAAATATTTACTTCCTTAAGTCCTTTAAAGAGGTTGGATGAAGTCATTTCTCCAGTGACAGATATTTACTTCTCTAATACCAAATTCATGCCTCATTGCTCTGTTTCTGTGCTTTTTGCCTACACAAAATCTTAATACTTTTTATTGAAATTTGA